AGAGGGGCCTTAGGTCAAACCAGACCTTGGTACCTTGGTCGGCTGCCCTTACAAGTTCTGTGCCACCACTGCCCTAGCATACTATGCAGGCAGGACAGAATGTGGGTCCAAGCTTTTGCGGCTGGGTTGGTGTCCATGTTTCTCCTTCTGTAGCCTATGGAGTACCTTCCCACTCCAAAGACACTAGAACATAAGCGTAATGATTCCATGGAGACACCGGCTCTACTTCTCCATTTTCAGGGAGTTGTATGGGTGTTGTCCTCAGCACTGGAGGCCCGCTGTCAGTTTGTGGAGAGCAGCCTTTTGTCTTAGCAACAGCCTGGGTTGTTTGGGGATCTCCTTGGCCAACAACTCAATTGAATTCACGTAGTCTCACCACTGGAAACCTCGCCTGCCTACGAGAGGTAGCCAGCTGAGGCTTGGTATCCTCCATCACTAGGAGTCTTCATTAGGGTCACCCTCATAGATTCCAGGAAGTTTCTACTGTACTAACTTTCTACGCCACTCCACAAATGCCATTTCCAGCTGTCTCCCCCCACACTCTTTCCTCCTCTCCATCTCCTCCCACACACCTGATCCTCTGCTCCCATCACCACCCTCCCCCAGTCTGCCCGTAAAATCTATTTCCCCCTCCCAGGGAGATCCATGTGTTCCCCCCTCACACACACACACACACAGACTCTTCTTTATCTAACCTCTATGGATCTATGGATTGTAGCTTGGTTATCATTTACTTTACAGCTAATATGCCCTTATAAGTGAGTACATACCATATTTATCTTTCTGGCCTGAGTTACCTTACTCAGGATGATTTTTTTTCTAGTTCCATTCATGAGGCGTGATGATTTTTTAAGACATGTATTTAAAACTGCAAAAATGTTATATGTTAAGGATTCATTTTGTTTTATTTTGTGACTATGTGTCTGTGTGGGGTATGTATCTGTGAGTGGAGGTCAGAGCCATCTTTCTAGTTTCAAATGGAACTTTAATGTCAATCTCTGTTTTGAGCACCAGTTTTATCAAGAGCAGAAATGTAATGTTTGTCAATGCCAAGGAGGCATTTCAGAGTTCTCAGGCAGCCGGGAACTTTGTTTCCTCTGTTCTGACTTGGATGGTTGTTGCTGTTGTGATCATCATAGACTGGGGGAGCCTGGCCCCGAGGCATGGCAGAGATCTGCACGGACTGGTACCAACTACAAAGCCACTGCCCCATCTAGCCCGAAGCCACTGCTGCTTCTCACTGACCTCCACGTTGCCATCTACCACAGTCCTGGTGATGAGAATCGCCTAGGAGACGAGTCTTGGGTCATGTCTGTGACGTAGTTTACAGTTGGAGTTAACTGAGGTGGGGTGACCTATCCTGGATGTGGGTGGCATTGTTGAGCTTAGGTCCAAGACTGAATCAAAAGAAGAAAGTGAGCCAAACACTAGCTTTCGTCTCTCTCTGCGGGACCAGCTGCCTCAGGGGCCCCTTGCCTCATGTCTCCATGGTGATGGACTGTATCCTCAAACTGTGAGCAAAAAATGAACCCTTCCTTCCATAAATCGCCTCTATCATTTTGTCATAGCGATGAGAAACGTGATTAACACAGACCACGTGTATTAATGAATACATCGCCAATGTAACTGCTGATGGACATGCTGTCCTGCTTTGGCCCAGGGGCTCCAACGAGCTGCTGGTTTTTACTTGAAAATGGAGGTTGTGCCCTGGGCTCCAGCCGGTGAAGCCCGTCTGCCTGGTCCGGTCCGGCTTCCTTTGTCCCTCTATACCACTGTGTGCGACAGCCAAAGGAGCTTTGTGGAGAGGCCTCACACAGGACACTTGGCACAGTTCTGGGCTCTCTCAAAGCCCCACACTTTGTTCGGCAGCTCAGGCTGAGCGCACACCAAATCGCTGGCACCCGCTCCTCTCTCTCTCTCTGCCTTTTTCTTCTTTCCCCTCAAAAACTTTTATCTTGCCCCACATAGAAAAAACATGCTCTCAGGTCAACCGTCATTCCTTTTAAAGCTATTGTTTAAGGTATTGTCTCGGCCAGAAGTTTCAAAAGTCTGTTTTGAAACTAAAAGGTTGAGGATTCTTTCTTTTGTGCTCTGTTCCATTGTGGCTCTGCTCCTCTGAGGCCTGGGATGCCCTGGTTAGGGCCACCCATGGTGGAAGGCTGTTGAAAGAAGAGTGCCATTCCCAGCAGGGAGGACGGTGGAGGGGAGGAGACCACTTAATAAACACTCCAGAGAGTTTCCCCCGCTGTAACAGGGCAGCTCCCAAATTAAAGAGAAGGGCTGGGAATGGAGCTGAGTGGTAGAACGCTGGCTTCGCATTCATGAAGGATCAAATTAAACTGAGCGTGGCGGCACATGCTTATAATCCCAGCACCCAGGCAGTGGATGCAGAGGAATCCGTTCATGTACATCTGTGAGAGCCAAAGTTACAGTTTTAAGTTTTCATTACTCTGCCTAAGAGATCCATGAAACAAAAATGCCTCTGATCTGCAAGCCCCTGGCCCAAAGGCAGACAGTTCCTGAAATGCTGGAGGCTCATGAGAGATAACAAGCCACAAGTTTTTCATTCCCCTAAACAAGTTTGTTCGACCCATCTGCACAGGAATCGCTTGATCACATGTGGGCCCGAGGTTCACAGGATGGAGGTACGCCAGGATGTATGCTTGCCCCCATTGGACCTGATGGGAAATGCAATGAATTATGGGTCTTCTTTAGTCGCTACAAACTATAATTCTGGGCCATTTCCCAGGAACCTGGGTATGGACCTGGCCAGAGCCCATCCACATGGCCAGTATTTAATTAAAGCTTGCTTCAAATTTGGCTTTAAATTGTGGTAGCAGTCTTATTCTCGATCGGTGAGATTAACACATCCTCAGCTGCATATCGAGTTCAAGGTCAACCTGGACTAGAGACTCTGTCTCAGAAAGAAACAAAACAACAACAAAGCCTGTTTTGTGGGTCTTACGTTACTATATTGATAGACCTACCCATCTCCTTTTTGAATTTAAAAAAAATTAATTTTTATTTTATATGTTTTGCCTGCCTGTATGTATGTATACCATTTATGTGCTTGGGAACCTCAGGAGCTGGAAGAGGGCACTGGATCCCCTGGAACTGTAGTTACAGATGGCTGTGAGCTGCCTTGTGGAGACTCTGGAAGAATAGCCAGTGACCTTAACCGCTGAACCGTCTTCCCAGCCACCCTGCCCCCTGTCTTTTTCCTACCGCTCAAAGAAACATCGTGGTTGTCTTCCCAAATCCGGATGTCTGTCTCCTCATGTCCACAGTTGCATAAATGCCATTGTCTCCAGATGTGGTTTTAGTCCGTTACATTGATGGGCCCTTAGAAGTGTCAGGTTCCTGCTTTTGAAATAGTAGCCACATCGAACATTCTCCAAAACACGTATTTCCTTTCTGAGGGGATTGTCCTCAATATGCTCTGCTAGAAGCAGCCCTGCTGCGTCACGGAATGCATCGGTTTTATATTTTGGTTCTTCTGGTCACACGAAACCCTACAAATATGCATCAATTTCTACCTCAGCCAGAAACCTATAGAGACGGCAGTGTCCACCAATGTCCACTAACATGGGCATTTATCAAGCTAGAGACATTCTTGTTTCTTTGGGAGTTGTTTCATTTGAGACAGGATCTCGTTGTGTAGCTGTGGCTGGCCTGAGACCTGCTGTGTAGACCTGGCCTCATACTCCTGTGCTGCCCCTGCCTCTGCCTCCCCAGGGCTAGAATTAAAAGTGAGACACCATGCTGGGCAGGACTTCTTTTCCTGTGTGAATTGCTTATTTGTTTCCTTAGAATATTTTCTCTATGAAACATTTTCATTACTTGATTCATAAAGAATCTTTACATGTGAAGGAATATAGATCTTTAGCTATTTTTCCTAATTTGCCATATAATAAACTTCATCCTTTTTGTATAAAAGCATAAATATTGTGTGGGATAAGTCTATGAAATATATTCCTTTCTGCCTTTTGTACTACACAATGGGGAGCTACTCTATTTTAATATTAGGTCACTATTTGTGTCTTATTGTAAACATTTTGCGTTTCTGTTGGTTGTTTGCTTGGTTGGTGTTTTGGAGACAGGGTCTCACTGTGCAGCTCTGGAGGGCCTTAAACCCCCAGAGATCTGCCTGCCTCAGCCTCCCAAGGCATGAGCTATCACACCAGGCACATGCTGGGTTTTCTACTTCACATTTTAAGTACTAGAATTTGTCCAGGGGTAAGGTTGAGATACACTATCTTTTCTGTATGTCTCAGTGCCTATTATTGGATACTATGTCTCTTCCCTGATCTCCTTTTCAGGTAATGTATCACATTTCACCACAGGCTCCAGCATTATTGATTTGAGGATTACCCAGAGACTTCAATTCCTTTTCTTTGACCTTATTATCTTCTCTTCTATGAAGTGGACAAGCGTGTGCTGGCCTTTACGTGGCTGTGGTAGAATGAGGAGGAGAGGATATAACAGCTGCCTTTCCTTCCTCCCCAATGGGAGTTCCTGGGAATGACAGGATGCCTGCTCCCCAGAAGGACTGGGCTCGCCATAGTCCTCAAATTAGCAGTAAACTCCAAGGCCAACTTGAAGTCCTTTGACAAAAGTCCAAGCCCACAGAGTTAACAGAACGCTAATGATGTTATATGAGGGGCCTGCAATTCAGCTCGTCATTGTAAAGGTACTTTCTGAGAGCCTGACCACAGGAGCTGACCTTCACATGCACATGGTGGCGCATGCGTGCACACACATGAACATACACACACACACGTGAACACACACACGTGGACACACACACACTAAACAAATAATTTAAATGCGACATGACTCCTGGAAGATGAGAAGTGCTGTGGAAAAAGCGAAGCGGAGCTGGAAGCCTGGGAGCACAAGAGTGTGGCCCCCGGTCAGGCAGTCAGAGGAGGCCTCCACCAGGAGGTGACCTTTGAGCAAAGATTTGGCAACGGGGAGGGCATGAGTCAGGAGGTTTTCTGCGCAAAACATTCCAGGCAAAGGCATCTCCCTGTGAAGGTCTAAAGGGCATGTGCCTGGCACATGTGAGTAGAGCTAAGGAGACAGCAGCTTGGGCATTTGTGTGTGTGTATACGCATTCGCGTGTGCGCAAACACACTCAAGAGTGCATAGGAACGGAATGTTCACGGAGGAGAAAGGCCAGACAAAAAGGTAAGGAGTTGGGTGGAAACTGATTTCCAGGACCTGAAAGGCCTGCTTTCAAACAGTGGAGCCATCTCACCTCTTTTTTATTTACTTTTTATTCACCAGCCACATGACTAAATACTAGTAACAATCCAAAAAGCATTAATACAAATGGCTTCAGGGCACATGCCTATAAAGATGACAGGAAGCTGAAGTAGAGGATCACCAGCTTGAGGCCAGGCTAGACTACAGAGCAAGATCCTGTCTTAAGAAAAAAGTGCCAGGCAATACTGCAGGTCTTTAATTGCAGCATTGGAGACAGAGGCAGGTGGATCTCTTAGTTCGAGGCTAGCCTGGTCTACAGAGCGAGTTCCAGGACAACTAGAGTTAAATAGAGAAACCCTGTCTGGAAAAATAAAAACGAAAAGAAAAGAAACACATAACCAAACTTAGGTGTGTTGTTGCACACCCAGCCCCTAGGAGGAGGAGGCAAGAGGATCAGGAATTCAAGGGCAACTCGGGCTATATAAGAGTTAGAGGCCATACTGGGCAACATGAACTCTGTCTTAAAAACAAAAAAGGTTCACTTAAGCAACGTATGTAAAGTCAATCAAATTGGTACTATTTCCAGTATATGCCGAGCTAAATATTTACAGCAAAATAATACAGGTATATTACAACATAATATGTATATTGTTACATGTACAATTGTCCCTCAGGATCCTGTGGCTACTAAACTCCGTAGATGCTCAAGTCCCTCATATAAAATGGCATGGTGTTTACATTCAACCTCTGCACCTCTTCCTATGTACTTCAAAGCATGTGTTACTTACAATACCAACTGGAGTAGAAATGCTACTGTACTGTGTTTGCTTATGGAGCAACGACAAGAAAGCAGCCCACATGTGCTCAGTACGGACGTATTCTCCTTCTGAATATTTTCAGTCGAAAGGTAGTTAAGTTCACTGAAGGAAATCTGAAGGCAATGGAAGACTGACTGCATGTAACTGTATATAACATAGACAGACATACGCCTACTCGGGCCTCCTCAGGCTCCTGCATTCACAGGGTGCACATACATGCATTCAGGAACACACACACACACACACACACACACACACACACGCACGCACGCACGCACGCACGCACACTCAATAAATAAATATATTTTAAAACTTTTAAATATATTATCAAATACTACATATATGATATGTGTATTAGTTAAAAAGTAAATGTTAAAATTCAGATAACTGGGTTTATTATATTAAATAATTCAAATGAATTTGTATTACTGTAACTCAATGTAATGCTTTAACAATAATTCCATTATGTAATAAGGTCACTGGGTTAAATCTATATAAATGAAAGCTATTTTTTTAAAATTCTAAGCAAATGATTAGAGATAGAGGGAAAAAACTGAGCTTGGTGAAAATATGTAAGCTGCATGAGAGCCAAGAATATAAAAACAACTAGCAATCTGAGAATTCTTATAGCATGTAAAACAACACTTCATAACTGTTTTCTCAAAGTGTCCAAAGTGTAAAAAAAAATTCCAAGTTTATCATAACTGCAGGGATGTCTTTGTGGCCTCAAAGATACTCCAATTTTGTTTTTCCCAAAAAAAGCAGTAAGTGGAATACAACAAGATAAACCTCTCTTAACTGACGAAGAAAGACTTGGTTCAGATGAGACTGATTTTGTTTTAGAAGCTTCATTATCTGATATGTTTGTGGCACAGATTCGCATTCTTCTGCTTCAACTGTACTCAGAATAGCTCTATAATTATAACCGGCTATTTCAAATGCATGAGAAACTTTGCATCATGGCTAATTCTATAATATATCTATATGTATATATCTATATATTCACATTAGCTGTCACCAGTCTGTGAAAATTCTACTAAATGTCTTAGGAGAAGCTGGGCTTGGTGGTTTACCACTCTAATGGGAAACTGAGACAGAAGAATTATATTGGAAAGTTCTATGCTAACCTTGGGCTATATAGTGAGTTTTTCTGGACAACCTGGGGTACAGAGTGAGACCTTGTTTTGAAGACAAGGAAGAAAGGAGAGGAAGGATGGAAAAATAGAAGGGAGGGAGGGAGGGAGGGAGGGAGG